TTTTTTTTTTTTTTTTTTTTTTGAAGCACTTTTTAAATATTGATATCGAAGTCGAGTCGTTTAAGTTGTAGCAAATCGTTTCATATTTTGCACTATTGCATTCTTATCGCCTTATTAGACTGGTTCAATATTTCCCGGCTTAAATGATTGTTCTGACGAGGAATTTTGAGTTGTAGTATGTTCCAGTATTTTCCAGTAGTGAAGTTCCTGAAATGATCATGAAGTTTGATGTAATAGCTGAAGAAAACGACGTGCCGTGTATTTGAACTTGTTATGACCCAAGGGTGATAAAGCCTGATGTGTATTATTTGTGAATTATTTAGGGATGACAGGTGGAAAGAAAGCGTTAGGTCTCTGGGAATGGCGATGGGATTTTTGTACAATTTTTGTTGCTTGTGAAGGTGAGTTGTTTTTGTTGGTTTGGGCAAGGCATGCCGGTAAAGCTAATTGGTGTCAGAATCGTGGATATTTAAAGCGGGATGTTTAGTTCTTTCTAGTGAGTGTTTCTAGTGACAGTGTTGTGGTTGAAACATTCAGTGGTCGGGTAAATGAATCTTTGTGATGCTGTGAGCTGAGTAGTTTAGCATAGTTAGTAGTGAAATGTTTCTGTTGAAGAATGCTTTGATTAAATTTATGGACGATTCTGGTTGACGTATCGTTCATACAATGGCAACACTATGAAGTTAAAAGGTAGCCTCTTGTTCCTGAAGTGCAAAGAGCTGTACTGCTCGGAGTCAAGTCCGACAAGACGTGATTTGTAGAAATACGATGGCCATAGTACGTCTGGTTTGCTTTGTAGATGAATGCTTGCTTATTGCTGCATTGCTGTTGTTGTTATTGTTGCTGGCGTTGCCGTTTTTTTTGTTTTTGCTACCGTTTACATTATTCCAATACTATCAGCATAACTGCTTTCTCCGATTTTAGGTGTTTTCGGTCTAAAAAGTAATCGTCATTATTTGCACCTGTGAAAACAGTTTTCCTGTATAGTTTTAGATACCGCTTCTTACAGAATAGATTTCGTAGTGGTTTAATAAGTATTGGTATATATTATCATGTGTTGCGAAATTGTTGACTTCCAGTTATTGTAGCTAAACAATTATTTTGTCGTTACCTTTGTTACAGAAGGGATCAGAAGTCAGTCTCCCATTGGATTCTGTCTGTGTTACGCAGACAGGGTTTTACATTTGGTGATTAGGGGACTTTTCCCAGGTTAGTTGGCAAAGAAAAAGTTTCCTTTTTTTTCATTTATAATTCTAGAAATTACTTATTTTTAACAAAGAGTAGAAATATAGGTTTGATTTGAAAATTCTCTGGTTGAGTTGCAACAGTTTTTTACAAGAAAAACCAACTGAAAGAGTTAAACTTTTAGAATAGGTAGCTAACAGTAGTAAATATTATAATCAACCAGTAGCTTCTAATTTTTGAACTGCTTGAAACCAGAACTGTTCTGTCTCAGTTCGTGCTTACAGGAAGATTTTGTTGAATGGAACCAAGTGGAAGTAGCTCACAGCTAAGCAGGATCTCTTCAGCATCATCCGTAACAAGCCATGATGATATCGTAGAAAAGTGGTTTGAAATTGATGATTCCATCCCATTTGACGTTCCCAAACAGTCACTTGAAGAAATTCTTTGTGATGTTAGTTTCTCTATATGAGAATTATGAAGATTTTTTATTGTTAAGAGGCTTTTGCTTCGTTGGATTCGTGAAAGTTTCTAATAAAAAGTGTCGATCTAGGAAAATCATCTAAAATTGATGTTGTAGTATGTGTTCCAGACGCTAGTAGATTTTGACGATGATGTAGATCTACCTTTTAAAGATGAGGATACTTTTTCCGCTACAGACCTTCGAAGCCCCTCGGTTTCTTATAAACTGGATTCTCCACTTCATGTCAAGCGGCTTGGTTTGGTTTTTCACACTCTTATTTTGATTTCAGTTTTTTTTGCTGTGATCACTTCACATGCTTTTTTATTGAAATTACTCGACTCTTTTGGAAAACTACCTTAACGGATAATTTTTTTCTTTAGAGTCAGTATCTTATCAGCTGGAATCTCTTCTAGATAGAGAGGGAGGAATAGCGAACTGCGTCGCTGTGTCAAGCTCAGCTGTTGCTGTTGGCACCACTCGTGGACGTATTCTGGTTTTCAATAGGAATAACCAGAGGTTAAAAGAGTTAAAGTTCTTGCTTGTAATGGTTTAACAAATTATTTCTTATCTTATCAGTTACTTTTACGGGCTCTTACCGAATCAACCTCTTACTGCGGATTTTGTCAGAAAATTAAAAAAATTATTTTGGGACTTCAACTTTCTGGTGGTGCTTATAGGCTTGAAAGTTCTTTCTTCAATGAGATCTGTCCTGTTTCCAGTATGGATTTTAACAGAGATGGATCTAAACTTGCTGTTGCTTTCGCCGTCGGGAAGATAATTGTGTTGAGTGTTACTTCAGGGAAAATTTTAAATGAGAATTCTGAAGTTGTTCAGCTTGGGCGAGGGATCCTTCAGATAACAATGATTGGAAGGTAGATTTCTTAAAAAGTAACATGGCAGAAGTTTGGTCACTGATATAACTGCTGTGTTGTTTTAGTGAATTATTATTATTATCACTGCTTCTAATTTTAATTAAGATTCCCGTATTTACTTTTTTCTTAATAAGTCATACTGCAGGCGAATTCTCTCAGTTTAGCATTTGTTGGAATAGTCTTTTCAGTATTGTTCTTCAGCTAGCGCTCGCATGAAGTTTTTAGAGGTCATCGCATGATCGTAGTTGATAGTGGAGGATCTGTTTATATTTATGAATCACCGTACCGTTTTCGCAGTTCGAGGGTGAAATGTATTTTTTCTGGTGCTCGTGGAGAGGTTCACTATTTAGTTTGCGTCTTCTAATTTTCCAAGTTTTTGTTGCTTGGATGTTGACTTTTGACTTAATTTGTAAAGTAGTTGTGGTTAAAGGTTTTCTTTTTAAGTTTCTAAAATAACGCTTAAATGTTCTAAAGTGATTTTGACTTCCAGGTAGTTTTCGTTAAAATGATCGCTGATGAACATGTACTTGCTCTAGTTTCTTTAACGAAGTTTTACTTAATAACTTTTCCTGAAAGTCGATTGATTCACGTATCGCCTTGTGTTGGTTCTGCCAGTAAACCTCCCGTCTTAGATTGGCAGTACTTAGATTTTAAGGTCGTTAATTTTTTTTAATTGTATTCATCAAACTGAGATTAAAGTTGTAATCTTATAAATTAAAATATCTTACTTCAATTGAAACTGCTGAGTACAAACTTGTCTTGCTTTGCAAAATTACGAAAAATGGATGTGTAATAAGGAAAAAAGGAACAAGACGGATCTTTTTAGAAGTCATTGTTTTTCAGTCGCTTAAAGGGAATTCTTTGAGTCCTGTAGTGTGTGTTGCAAGAGGTGGCCATATAACTTTTTATCGTCTGGCGCCGAACAATGTTACCTTGGAGAAGGTTACTTTTTTAAGGTAAGTAGTGTTCTCTGGTTCTTGTGGTAGCCTTCTGTACCCGAGCTCATGTCTACAGAATTTCCCTTGTCAAGTTGGTCTTATTCGCCTTTTTTAGGAATTTGGTTTTAAATTTTGATGTAATCAATTTAAAGTGGGTTGACCCTTTTCACATTGTGGCTATTTCATCTGATGAAAGGTTGCATGTGGTCGATATTGCTCTTGGGGAAACAGCAGAAGAAGACATAAGTTTTTTGGAGCTTGTTTACGGTACAGCTGAATTTAAGGTCCATCCATTTCTTAAATCACTTAACACCAAACGTTCTGCTTTTAAGACTATTCATTTTAAATTTTTGCTTTTCCCGTCTCATTTAATTGTTATATAGGAAGATTATTAACTGCAGGTTATGATAGACATTTCCAGTTGGCTTTTTCGAGTGTTTCAAGGTTAAAAATTTTGCAGGGTTTATCAGTTGGGGGAAATGTTAGTGCAGCACTCCAGTATATAGCAGACTCTGTTTGTTACCAATCAGTGCGCAGATATTGTGCGTATACAGCTCTTCTGGGTCAGTGTGCCGTTTTTACTTTGGAAATATCCGATCAGTTAAGTCAATTGGATGCCTTTGTAGAACGGTATGAACCAACTTTATTTAGTCTATTTAAGCTTACATAGAAGCATTTTTTTTTTGAACTGAGTTAATTGAACTGGGTGTCTGGGTCTTTTAGTGACGATATCACTGCAGCCGTTTCATACGCAGTCGATCTGTACACTGAAAAAGTTCAAAACAAACGGCCTGGTCTTAAACATCACATATCCTCGCGTTTCCCGCTTTTAATTCAGAAACTCTTGACTAAAACTACTAGTTTGGAAGGCGGCAATATTCGAAAGTTAATTGAACATTACAAGGTATGTTTTGAAATCCTGCGATATGTTTTATTTTTGTGACAGATGTTTTTTTCTTCTCAAATTCAGTTTTTTAACTTTCAAAACAAGCATTTTTGCTCATTCTCTGGATTTTTTACTTGTAACACATATTTTGAATAGGTTCATATACCACTAATAATTTGGAGCTGTGTTAAAACTAGCCATTTTGACCTTCTTTATAATACTGTTTATCCTCTCCTGGAAAAGGACGCTCTCTCAAAAGCACAGTTTATGGAAGTACTTGATGAAGTTATAAATGAAGGACTTTTGAATGACCCTTCACCCACACTGGTATGTTTCTGCATTTTTTGAAAGAACTTTCGTTTTATCTTTTAAGTCATTTATCTCATTTTTCACTTTTTGCTTTTAGTTAATTCAGTTTGTAATTTTCATCTCTTGCTCTGATGTGAAGTCAGTAATGAACGTGTTAGAGCACAAAAAAGACTTCTTTATTTATCGTCTGGATATTGCTAATAAGTCTTGGTAAAAACAGGTCTTATTAGAGTTTCCTTGTCTCGCTGTTTAGGTCAAAGACTATTTTGAATATCTTATATCTGAAGGACATTTAAGCCAGTTTGAGACAGCTATTATTCATATTCCTTTGGAAAAACAGGACCTTGATTTCGCCATAAAAGAATGCACAAAACATAAACTTTTTGATGCTCTTATACACATAAGCTATGTTGCACTAAACGAATACACGTATCCTCTTGAGGCGAGTCGAATTTGTCTTATTTTTTAGTTTTTTTTTCTTTTATAATTTTTTGTTTGAGGCTTTTCCGGTTGTGAAGAAAAATGCGTACTAAAATGCTTTCCATCTTCAGATGAAAGTTCTTGTACGACATATTCACAGTATTTTACAGTATAAATATATACATTTTACGCCAGTATCTATTTTCAGATTATGCTTGAAAATGCTAAAACCTTTGGGGACTCTGAAGTTTTGTCTGACTGTCAAGTTGAACAAAGTAACAAACTTTTTTTATACCTCCAGTGTTGCTTAAGTGGTCAAGCTTATCCGACAGGATCTCTACCGGAAAATGTTGCCGAAAACTTATCTGTAAATGTATATCGGTGTCTAGTTTCTAGATTTGGAAAAGACTCTAGCTCGGGTAATATTTTTGAAAGCGTACGTGGTTTTAAAGGATTATACTCTTAACTTCTCTTAGAGAAATTTGAAAGCGTGAAACCCGTTTCTGACTTTATTATTGGCATTATTTCAGAAACTTACCCGTATATTCGATTGTTATTAAACCTTGACGGAAAACAGTTTTTAGATGTCCTGTTTACTTCTTCGGATTCACGTGTTTTTACTTCTGAGTTCGTGTTTCCTTTTTGACACTTTTCAAACTGGCAGATTATTCAAAATTCTGTAATGATACTTTAGAGCAGTACTTAAACAAATAGAGGTTTCAAAAGGGTATGAAATATTAAAATTCCATCTTTTGATTAGTAATTAGAAGTAATGGTAGCTGGTTAACCAGTATTAGTTAAAGAGATATCTTAGTTGCGAGATTTTTATTTTAAACTGATTTTAATATGCGAATTTAAATTCTCCTGTTTTTTTTTAGTTCAAGGATTACTTTTCTACCCTAATTTTTTTATGTTTTAATTTTTTTTCGTAACTGTTGTCGTTTCAGCCTAAACAGAATGCATAAATTGCTGGACATCATTTATGAGGTTTTACTTCCTTGCGGTGATCATCAGTTACTGGCACATTTTCTTGTATTCATAACACACTTGATCCAGAGCAATGCGGTATCAGTACCGCTGCACATGATTAAGTCGGTGAGTTTTATTTTGTTTATTGACTTATAATTAACAGCTGGAGAGCGGATATGAAAAAATCAATTTGGGATTTCTTTGTTTGTTAATATGCTAAGGAGAGAAATCAAGTTCATTTTTCCAGTTAATACATTCTGTACTGTCGGTAGAAGCCAGAACGGAGCGACATCCGGAAGTGGAAAGTTCTATTATAGAACTTATGGCAAACATTTTTGGTTTGGACGAAAATTATATACTAACTCTAGCAAAGAGAAGTTCTCAGTAAGAACAATATTTCCGTATTTTACCTTCAAGCAGTCTAGGAAGCTTAAAATGTTTTATCCATTTTACGATTTGCAGTTTACAAGTTTGTGCGTACATCTATTCCTCGAAACGGCAGTTTAAAGAGTTGGTTGAATGTTACTTGGATGATAAATTCTTTGCGGTAAGACTTTCTTTAGCTTTTTTGCTCAGCTTCAGTGGTGTCAAATTAATGACGAAATATCTTTATCTGTCTTTCAGAGAAGTAGGTCGTAAAATAAATGACAAATCTGTGCTGTTCATTTGGTTTTTGCTGGACTTTTTTAGTTTTAAATTATAGTTTAAATCGATAAATTGGAAACATGTACTGTGCGTTTACCGCTGTAATATTCAATTATCGTGTATAAAGTGCTCAGTGTTGAGGTTATCTGCTGTTGTAAGTCAGTTCTTTTACAGAATGATGTTTTCTTTCAAATAAGAAATTTGTTCGAGAAGTTGTTGAAAAGTGAACTGGACGGATTCAATGGTTTTTTGCGTTCTTCTTTGATGGTACTGTTGTCATGATACTGTTTTCACTTTTCTTCAATCTCTTATTCGTACACTACTGAAAATAGTGGTTTTAAGCTAGTTTTAATGGTGATAGAAGAGTCGGGGATTTACAAATGATGCTACTGAAAAATATATGCGGAACTTTCGAGTTTAGATTCTCTTTAACGAACTATGTACTTTAGAGACTGAGTGCTGTGAATTCGTTCATGACTGCAGAGCTTGTAGTCGATTATTTTACTGATTGCTTACTTGATCCAGAGGACGAAAGCGATGGTTTCCCTCAACTTGTTTATAATTGTTTCTTAATAAGGTTAAGCTGATGTTTTTTTAAAATGTTCAATTTTTTTCTGCAAAACTCATCTTTATTTTAGGCGGTCGAGGGGGTGGCGTGACCTGACCGGTAAAGAAAAAGTTGATGATGCCTTGTTATCGCATGCTGTAGAATATGTTTTACGTGGAAAAACGACTTTGGAAGAAGATAAGGTTTGAGTTTATCTTGTATTTTATTTTGAAGGATTAACACCCAAAAATAGTCGAGTATATTCCATTAATTAAGTTTTAGGAGCTCTCTGAATTTTTACGTTACTGGTTACCTATTGGTTCCTTAAGCGACCGAACCTTGAACCAAGTTGTGAAAGCAAAGTTTCCTTTTTCTAGCGCTGTTCTCTTTGAGGCACGGAAGTTATACGACGACGCATTTCAAACATTGTATAATGAACTGGAGAAGTTTTCTCGTCCAGAACATAACCAAGGCTAGCTTTTGTTTTGCTATTTAATTTTAATTTGATTTAATTTTCTTTATTTTGTATTGTTTATTGGATCATTTGTATACTCGTTTATTAAATAGTAAATTGTGGATTTCCGTTTCGATGATTACATTGAAACTTAGTCAATGAGTGTTAATTAGTGAATAAGTATAAAGATTTTAGAATTTAACCATATTTATGAACTTTTTAATACTATTTTGCATAAAATTTAAATGAATTATTTCAATTTTTATAGCTTTTGCTGAAGACTTGGTTAAAGAGGTCTTGCGGCTCTCTAGTTCGCACCGTACTGAGGCTTCAAAAGGAGAGTGGCTTCTGAAACTTCTTCTTTTGCTCCTCTCGCTAACGCAGTCGCAGCTTCGCAAAGATTTAGGTGGTTATTAGAATTTAGAAATGAGGAATTTAACTGTGGCATTCAAATTTTTTCTTATATCAAAACTTCCTTCCACGTGTTAAATAATTTTGGTAAAGGTGGTGATTTGTTAACTGGCATTACTGTTACAACCATACATCCTTTTAGCATGATGTTAAAAATTTGATTTGAGACAGTTTGAATGTTGAATAAGTTTCTAACTTGATAGCGGTGTTTTTACAAAATGTTAAGGTATTCTATGTTAATCGATAATTCGCAAAATATTAGTACTTTTAATTAGCACTTTTATTTACGCGCCGATTTGACTGTCTTTTAAGCTTGCAGATGAGAGGTATCACCTGAACATGGTCATTTCGGGTATTATAGAAAGTGGCAGTAGCAGTATTGAGAATCTCGTCAACTCTTTGTTTGCCCATCCTATATTCAGGTTCGCACTTCGCTTTAGTCATGTGCCATAACCACTGGTCTTGCT